ATGGGTAGTAATGATATTGTCAAACTTGCACATACAAATGTGTAGCATACATTGAACTATGAGTATTATGTGCTGCGAGAAATTTGTAATAAGGAAGTAGTTCTCATTCTGAATCTAAATGCACGTTCCTAAACTTATTTAAAAAAAAAAAGTGTTGCAACTACTCTGATCACGAGTGTACGCAGAAAAAAAAGAAGTATCAAATCAAGACTTATATAAGCAAGATTAATTCGTAATCTTAAAATGAGGTAAGTATATATTGCGTTAAACGAAGAAAACTTGCTTGAAAGTTATTTATATATTTCTACCAAGATGCAAGAGTACCAAGAAAAAAAAAGTTGAAACGATAAGTTGAAATTCTTATAAGAATATTATAGATTCTTGCATACATGCAAGTATATAAGTCTTAATTCAACACTTCTTTTTTTCTGTGTAGACTATAATAAGAATCCTTTATATTTCATAACGTATCCCATCCATTGCTATTCTGATATTTAGATTTTACAGTATTCTCGTAAAAAAAGTTACGAGATAAATTTTTCAGATATTTCGACATTTGAAATATCTCGTCGTTTATTTGCTGAAACCCGAGACAGAAATGTTGTCTCCCAACATTGTACCGATAAGCAACGTGTATTCACAGTTATAATTTCGTTTTTTTTTCTACAGGTTATCTCGTTTATTCTACAGAGTGTGTCTAAATTAAGCGTGTCTAATTATTCCCAACTACACGCGCGGACTTTAAAGTTTAACTAAGGTTAGATATAGGATAAAGAAAATATTTTTGTCGGTTGGCATTAATTGCTCGGAGAACGTATATAACTTGGTCATTGCGCCGATCGTCCGCAAGTAACGTAAAGCCTATATGCAAATTTATGTTGAACGTGTCGGGGGTCAAATGCCATTTGGGTCGCGGGCCTCGGGTATTTTAAATTTCCATTCGATTAAGTAAAAGATCGCGCACCGTCTAACCCGGCATCGATCGATCCGATCGGTAAGCCAAATACGTTTTATAAAGAAACAAGAAGAAGATGGGAAAAAAAAGAGGAAAACTCGTTAATCCGCGATGCATCAACTTGCAGCACCTGCCAGCGAACGTATCGCGATATCTCGATCTCTATCGTTATATTCAGGCTATACAAATGATATACTACGGATACGACCGTTCTGATTTATAACGCAATGTGCCCATATAAAGCTTTCTAGAATAGTCGCGGAATCTACGAACGCGATACCTAAAAACTCGATATATAAGCTCGGACTTTTATGCGCTTAACTCGCAGACTTATACTTCTTTACTTTGCATATGCGTTGTACAATCTGGGATAAATTTTTCCTTGACGCCTTAAGATGTAATGATTTTGAAACTAGCCAAATAAAGTCTCACAAGTAGGTATCTCACATGTTTATTTTGAAACTAGAATTTCTATGTCCAAAGAACGATGCAAAAACGATGTAAATATGTCGTAATTATTAGTGTATAACTCGTATATTTATAAAATTAATATATGAAAGTGAGAAACTATTTAGAGTATTTATCAAGAGAAATTCAGAAAGAGAAATTTTTTTTATATTATTGCATTAATATAAGTTATCACGTCAATCGTCAAATTCATATTTTCTTAATTGAATATCTTCGAAAAGAAGGATCTTCTCACGCAATATATTTTTACAGCAAGAAATTACCTGGTCATCATTTATGGAAACGGTTGAATAATTTTTTTTTATTAATAATAAATCGGCGTGACGGATCGAAATGCATAATCCTGAGCGCGCAATATTGTGAACCGCGAGTCGAGATTATCGCGGCGTCCTCGCACGAGCGACGTAGCGTAGAGTTGCAGACGTCGTTCCTGCGAAACTTCGTCCCTTTGAAATTCCACTCGCGTGGCCGCGCCGCGGTTGCGCCGTTGGCACGTGAATTTTCAATAGATCTCCTCGCACCCGAGACGCACCGCTCGCTCGTCCGTCACGCATTTGAACGGCGTCGGCGGGACGGGGCCTATCTTTGGGCTACGCGACCGGGCGCAATTTCGGACGCGTCTTACATTCGACGATGCTCACAAATACAAGCTCCTTCCAATAAAATCCTCTATAAATACGTTTACAGACTTTAAAAGAATAATTCCCTAAGCATTTCGAGCATTCTATTAACGTTATCCGTTATCAATGCAGCATATCTTGAATAAATTGACATTTCTAACTAACATTTCTTGTGCTACAATCGCGTAGCTACTAATGGACGAAGCGTCCCGATATATCGTTATATCTCGCCGCGGAGATCGCGAGAACGATTGAGTGCCGTAGAGTGCCGTCTTTCGTTCTACGCCGTAGAACAAGCGCAGCAACGACGACGACGGCGACGGCGACGGCGATGCACCTGCCTGCGCTGGCGGCAGTTGCACCCCTCTTTATGACGATGCCTATCTAAGATGGCTGTGTGTGCCCCCTTCGTTTCGCTTTTGCTCGCCTCGCCGTTGCTCCGTGCTCCGTTGCTGGTAGCCGTGCGCGCGACACCTGACGCACGTACGCGCTCCGGCGCGGCACTCGTAAAACGCGCCGGAGCGCTCGCGCACACGTGGGGCATATACACGCGGCTTGCACGCGAGCGCGCGCACCTCGCCTCGCCTGTGAGAAGCGACATTAACCCGCCTTCTCACACATACGGAAAGCGCTACACGCGCTTATAAGCTCCTCTTCCCCGTTTTACCTCGTCGCCGCCTCTCGACTCTCGTTCGACCGGCCGACCTGGCGAATCCGTTTCAATGTGCCTTTATTTTAAATAAAGGCGTGCTACTATTAGCTCTCTGTCGCGGGAATCAACACATTGGCGTATCGCTAACTCTCGTTATTGAACACTGGCCGCACAATTTGTACCAGATTCGTATATAATATGCGCGGAATTTTTCTCGGTCGTTTCGAGAAATTCAGATATTTTGTCCCGCGCATATGTATGTATAAGATTGTATATTTTTTTTACGAAATATTGAAAGTAGACCAAAGAATGTTGTACGATTGTTAACAATTGCATTATATAAAGAAGATTAATACCTTCATTTATATAAGTAGATATATTTCTTTAAAAAAGAAAAAGTGAGAGAAAATTAATTTATATCAATCGATCAAAAGGAAAGTTGCAATATCTGTAAAATATGAAAGAAGAATAGAAAAAGAGAGAGAAAGAATGCAATCTAAATGCAATCACGAGTATATTTATATTTAAATATATTCTTTCAGTTTAAGTCATTTAAGTGTATTTATATATTCAGTGTCTTTTTATATTTTTTTATAGATATACCGGCGCAAGTGCCGCCGTTAACACCTGGGACCAACAAGAAAATGTCCGAGGCTCTGGAGGCCTCCTTCGGATCTTGGGAAAAGGAGCGACTCCGCTTGAATATAACTAAAGGTCAGCTTTTATTCTCACTACTCTTGATTATACTTCTTCGTAATTATTCTTATAATCGTATCATTTTTTTTCTCGTAAAATCGCGTAATTACAAAGCGTCACGTAATCATAAAGCGTGTGCTTTTACATCGGACGAATGTGTCGAATGCGTCCAGTTGCGAAAGTTTCTTTATTATAAAATTGTAAAATCTAGATAGTTAGACTATCTAGATAGTTAGACTATCGTTAATTGAAATCCGCGTGACGGTCGCCGTGATTTCAAGTAGATCAAATCTTTTGACTCGTAACAATAGTAATCTTATGAACGCAAACAATGTTTTCTGATTTTTCATACTGGTTTATATGATCCGGAATTTATGATCCTTGTACCGCCTCACCGCGCAAGTTGTTAAAAAATCGCTGCGGGCGCACAGAAGGGGAGAAAACACACGCACACACGCATGCACGCTCGCACATTCGTACGTTTGTATTTACTTGCGTGCCTGCGTGCGTGCGTGCGTGCGTGCGTGCGTGTGCGAGAGGCGCGCGTAGACGCGGGTGCGCGCGATGTGACGCGATGTGCGACGAGGCGGCCGGCGATGTGCAGGAATTGTGAATGTGATGTTGATGGTTCTGATGGGGAGCCGATGCCACACATCCGGTATGCGCATTCAGAGCCACGCGGGTGTGACGTTACTTCCGGTCTACATGCCCCGGGTTCGTACCCTCCAGGCCAGATCACCTACAGTCTGACCTCCGTGAACCGAACGAGCAACCTCCACTGCTCCTCTTGCCATTTCACTTCGAGCCTGAGACCCCGCCGCGTCGCGGTCCCTGAATCTTTTATTTTTCAGAAAACATTAAAGCATCATTAATAGCACATATTAATAAAAAAAAGTTTACTAAGGTTTACTTGACTCTAGCGAAATTAGCTCTTCTTTGCGAAAAATGATAAAAAAATTGTTTAATATATAATTAATTAAAAAATTAGAAGTTAAAGCTAGGAATTTGAGTGTCCTTCGTAGACATAATTAATAGATTACGCTAAAAAATCTGTCAATATCTATTGTGGCGTCGAAGAATATATATGAATATATATACGAGAACGCGCGTACGCTTACTATAAAGAAGACGCAACTTGCATTCACAATTACGTTTTGACGCGTCATATCGCATTCGCTATTATGATTTATTCAGAATCTATCTCCCTTTTGAATAATAAATACCATCGTAAGGATGCTTCGACGTATAAAGATGGATACTTTCAATCCTCGTGAGTCTCAATATCTTTTATACGTTATGATAGACTTCAGTTGCAATCAAGATATATCTAAATCGATCGATCGGTCGATTTAGATATACATACCGCTATCTCGAAATCACAGACGTAATGGATTTAAAGCGCGGCATCTGCTCGTTATCTATAAAGATCGAATATCCACATGCACTCGATAAGTTTTACTATTTACATTCTCCATCAATATCGTAGCGGCAATCAAATATACAATTGGCAAATATCAACATTGTCTAATTCAGCTGTTTAGTGTTTAATTGATGAAAACGGAAAGAAAAAAAAGGGGAATATAAAATAATATATTGATAATGAGGATCTCTATTATGCATGCAGCGATCGACCAGTAACAGAGAATACGTGTGCAGCGCGCGAGCGTGGACTTGTGTTCGAATGCGAGGCGAGAAAGAGAGTGTAAAGTCTGCTAACAACGCTTACGAGAAATAAGTTGGGCAAATATCGGTACGATCCTCAAACATCGGCGGTCGCTTTGAACGTGCCGTGCCATTGCCGTTAGACACTCTTGTTGCCTTGGTACTCGTTCAACTTTTTCTTCCTATATTTATATTCTATCCCACGCGAAAGACGTCAATTCATTTCGTACTTTATCGATTCCGCGAATAACGTCGCCCGCTCCGTCGTGCAGTCCTATATCTATTTTTGAATTTGCATTTGTGTCACGTATTAAAAATCTTATATATTTATATGTGGATGCCAGGAAAACCTCTGCCGTCGCGTCGAATTCATTATCGTTCATTTGCATTGCACCCTTATACACGAAGCGATTTTATTCAGGGAGGGGACAGGACGAAAAATTCATTTCTATTAGGAATATTATTTTTATGAAAAAATTAGAGAGAGTTGTCGTTATCATTTCTCGAAGATAACTCGTGCAATGTGACAAAACTATTTTTATCGTGTCTTCTGTCGTATCTTGAGTATCTTCTTTTAGATTCTCTTTTATCTCCTGCTTGATATTGATTTTTTCTATAACAAAATTTTTGGAAATACTTCTATATTTAATTAAAATTTATTTTAATAATGTGTGTAGCATATATTTTTAATACAAAACGGTGTTCTATTTTCTTTTTATTTCTTTTTTGTATATTATAAAAAAACGTATATTTTTAAATATTATTGCGCTTAACTTATTACAATGATGTAGAGACGTAAAAAGACAAGTGTATGTAGGGTGTTTTGAAAAAAAAATAAATAAAAGAAGAATTAAATTTTTACTTTTACGCCCACTCGACATTTTTTTCGGAACACTCTGTATTTCGGCCTCTCTCTTCGGGAACTTTACGAGGCTAGACTTCGGATTCGAAAACCTCTTGCTCGCATCATTAGTGTTAAAGGACGTGGTAAAGGCTACGAGATTGTGCGAGCAAAGTTATATACATTAGCGAGTCGCTACGTTGGCAACTCCTGTTTGCATTATGAGCCCAACTGTACTTTTACGCAGCGAGATACCACGAAACAATGCAAGACACGCGTGCAAATATGGGCGCGCACCTCAAATGGGACATTCCGATGTTTCTCGGTATTGCTTCCACCAAAGATGGTCGGCCTGGGCTCCGACTAACGATCGCGCGCCGTCACAAACGTCGACGTATGTTCGACGTTTCTTCGATATATCTTTCGGCCGTCCGAACGATCTCGCTCTCAGATGACCACGGATAAGTAAAAATCTTTGTTTTGGAAGTTTAGAGTAAAGTCCAAATGTCACCCTCCCTGATAATTTGAGAAATTAGAAGCAATCGCTGTCTAAACAATGACAATGACGATAACTCAAGCGATAACTCGTTTTCTGTTCTGCATTCAATAAAGATGAAGGGATAATCGATTTTCTATGGCATTCTGATATCGTTGAGAAGATTTGTTATCGCCAGGATCGCAGGAGCCTGGCGATAAACGGTCATCGGTTCGGGAATACGACTCGCCGAGATTGTTGCTAGAGGGCAATCCGGTCCTTATTTTTGTTTTCTTTTCTTTTTTCTTCCAGACCCGAGGCAATGGTCTGAAGCAGCTGTTGCCCACTGGTTGCACTGGGCTATCAGGGAATTCTCGCTGGAGGGTGTGGCGATGCAGCCGTGGCAGCACATGACTGGGAAACAGATTTGTGCCATGGGGAAGGAATCCTTTCTAGCACGTGCCCCCGCCTTCACGGGCGACATCCTGTGGGAGCATCTCGAGATCCTGCAAAAAGGTGCGTGTTCCTCATACGAACGGGGCTATCGGGTCCGTCAGTCTACCTCGAACATCCCCTACTTCGAGTATCCGATAAATCTGATGAGCGATTATTTTATATCAATCCTCAAGATATTTTTAATAAGCGTAATACATGAAATCTCTCAACGAGAATTTGTGCGAGGAAGCCTGATGAGACAGATTATAATACTTACAATAATAATAATGCGTTACTCGACCGGACATATGACGCCTCGATTAAACACTGCCATGAGTCACATACTGTCAGCTATTAGTGGCATTACGTGATAATTATGTGATGATTATATTATTAGGAATGGCTACTGATAATAATCTATTATATCGTAAAACAATTCCGGTAACTATTATTCTAAACTATTATTCTACCGCAAACATTTTTCTAGTTACCTTATCTCCAGACCGTCAACGCGAAGGAGTTTCTATAATACAGACATTACAGTGCATGAAAAATTTTTAAATTAAATCGAGTAACGATTAACAATTAACATTATTTAATTTTATTAGCATGGAGAGAATGATTAACAATTCTTATATCGTGCAATATTTTTGGTGTACGAAAAAAGATTCTTTCCTGTTAAAAATAAAACATTGCGACAATAGTTAAACATCGCGATCGATCTTGCGTTTCTTACACGCTGGATGCCCACCGATGACCCCGGTGTCGCGAATCCGGGGTTAATCGCACAAGAAAAACGCTCGTACGCGCTACGAACTTTTTACGACGGACACCATCCGTCGCCGTCGACAAAACCGATCGAATTTCCGTAAAATCGCGATGTCACGGCGCAGCGTACGAGCAAAAGGACTCCGGCGAACAATGACGTGGGCGATGGGGCGGTGCGCGCGGGTGGTGGCCATCTCTCTCTTCTCCTCCACCTCCTCCCGTGTCACTCTCCCGTTTCGTAGCGTTGAATCGAAACCCCCCCCCCCCGTTTTTACCTCGCACGCAGCGCGAAGAGAATGAAGCGGAGGAGAAGAAAGACAGAGCACCATAGAAACTCTCATCCCGGATATCCGCCGAAAACGGTGCAGCGCCATTGCCGCGGCCACTTAGACGCTTTTTCGGGGGGGCTATACTCGCGTGCACCAAAGAATTCACTCGAATTTCGATCTCGCGTACCGTCAATGGCCGAGCCTCGATTCGGCTGGTCCCTCCTATTAGATTCCCCGTGCCCTTTTATGGTACGTGCGCTCAAAACAGCAAGTCAAGTTCGCCATAAATGCGCCGTTCGATCGTTTTTAGATTTAACAAAAAGCAGAGAAAATTCAAAGGAAAGGTACATCTATATATGTCCTTGTGTAGGACGGACTGGAGCAAGTGGAGAAACGGTGCACAAGTGGAAAAATATGTAATAGGAGTTTCGCTATAGATAAATTTAGGTATCTAGAATTTCAGCATAAATTTTACAAATTTTACATGCACTCCTGGCAGGGCCGATATTTCAATTAAAACCAACTTGCTACTTATGGTTCCATTTCTATCAATGTGGGTTAACTTTAATCTCAGTTTAATTTACTTTTTATCTTTTTCTAATTCCGAAACTAGAAAAAGATAAAAAGTAAAAGTTAAACCGAGATTTAAATTAATCTGCATTGATAATTGATAGAAATGGATATTATTCAGACTTCTATTTTCTTCATTATTGTTTAATTTCTTTCATAAATTAGTCAACATTAATTTTATATTTACATTACGGTTATGATTTTTAGAAAAATGCAAGGATATTAATTATCTCCTGAATTTGACAGGTAATAGAAATAATGAAATAAAATTAGAATGTCTATATTTTTTGTCGAATATCTACATCGGTTGTATCAGTATCAATATATTAAACTCGAGCCACAGATAATCTTATCGTAAATACAATTTAATACATAATTTTCTTTCATACATTTGTGTATGTCGCTAAAGTAAGTGATAAGAATATTCAACCAAAATCATTGTCTCATTAATTGTTAAATATATTAAAAACCATATCTACTGCGTGACGAAAAAACAATAAAACAATTGAGGTAAAAAAAGGAAAAAAGGAAAGATAGAGACTGGAGGGGGGTGACTAAAGGGGGAGACTTAAGAAGAGATAGGAATACAGATGGAGGAACAAGGAGCTGAATAGATCGAGATAGATAAAAGCAGATCGTACGAAATGATGCGGCAGGAAGCGGAGGTTCGCTCGTGATTTAACTCCCGTTAAGTAAAACCCCGTACTTCCTTATCGATTATTCATGTCGCCTCATCATTGGCACTGAAACCTCGGCTTAATCGACTAGCGCGATCTAAGGACGACTACTAACGGTAACTCACCACAAAACTCGAGATTCGTCTCGAATACGTAATTTCTCTCCCTTGTATCGAAAGGGAGCGTGTAAATAAGCGCGAGCGAAGTAGAATTCTTAACGTTAAGCTCGGCGTTACGACATAGTTTCCTGATGAAGAATGATTCACACATTATGTGTGATTAACAACAAAACGAGTTTTATATCAATTAATAAAACATAAATCATGAATAAGCGTTAACGCAGAATTTTGCAGGAAATTATCAAAAATTGTCTAAATTTAAAAAAATTAATATTCTTTAAGTTTTTTATTTCTGACTTAAATTTTTGCGAGCGGCCAGGCTGCTTTTGTAAAACTACGATTACGCTCTGTTTCATTATTATCCACGCGTGTTGGAAATGAAGGAGAGATACGTACATGGCTGTGTGATTTTGCGGATAGCAGGCGCGGCGGGGAAAGAGTCAAATAAAAGCGTCATCGTCGTCGTCGTACTTTCCACATTCCAGCCGTGCAATTTATTATTGTGCTACGATTGTGAACGATGTAGCCGGCCGCGCCGCGTGATCCCTCTGACCGAGGCGACGGTAATTTAACTGAAGCCTAGCGTGCACCCGACGCTCGCAGTCGCGACACGACGTGGGTAATCGCTTTGATTCCGCGAATGAGAACGGATGTTAGGAAACGCTCTTGCGTTGTATAAAAAAGTAGAAACTAAAAAGTTGTATCTTCCTGTCGCGGCGATACCGATCGGATTCACGGTGAAATTCATTAATGCGATGCGTTTCGCCATCGTCGAGACGAATGATCGATCTCTTTTGTACGTCGGTATCGAATGGAAACTTGGATTAATCGAAAAATTTTCCCATTGCTTAATCGTGGTTAAATAATTACTTGATTAAATAAAATGTCTTTCTGCGCACGCAATTCACTTTGCACGTTTCGACATTTATCTCGCTGTAAACAATAAAGGCGCGATTTTTATTTCTCGCTTAAATCGTCGCTTAGAGAAATCTTGAGAAAATTTAATTTTTTACTCATTCTACACGAATAAATTTTTAAGCGATCTCTATTTACAACAAACGCGGGCTGTGTCTTAAATAATTTTTTCTAATATAAATCAATTTTTATTTCTGGTAATTCAAGAATTATTTGATATTTGAAAAATTAGCGGGTATACAGGAAGTTTATTTCAATTTTCTCCTCCACTGCATAAGTAATTAATAGAGTCGACAGTGTGTAAACGTGAAACCGAAGAGAGAACAGTGCATAGTGACTGTAGTAAAGATTATTTGCATATTAAAAGCGAAAAAAATGTAACAGAGTGTAGGAACATGGAAAAAAAGGAAATATTCATGGCACGTACGTCGTTTTACATTTCGAGTCTACGATTGTTTCCACGAGAGTTCCTAGAAGCCTATATAGAAACACCGACGATGAATCACAGCAATGTGGCGAACATCTCCTTCGCAATACGGTCGCGATGATGATAGTGCTACTCCAGATCGTTAATTACGATTGCGATCCGCGATGCGCGAAACAATCGTACTTACGGGGAATCACTTGATGACAAATAACGTAATATTTTATTCCTGTCATAATCAACACGCGCTGAAAAACTACCAGGGCACACATGCCGCCGCGATAACTGTTATCACGTGAAGATAAGGGCCTTAATTATTACGATTAACATGTTCACTGTCTATGAGGTATACGTGACCATTCATGTGTGCACGTGCACATGCACGAGGCGTACGCGCCCCCGTGGACAGGGAACAAAGCACACTAGAATACAGTTCTTTTTTTTATCGCTAATGTTCTTGTTTAGTTAACGGCTTAATCAAGACTCTGATATACGAAACGTATTTTTTTGGAAGAAAATATTTAATCTAATTTTGCGACATTGTCAAATAAACAATTAGGATCTATATCGTTGACACGCGATTTAACTTATAAAACTCTTATGAAGAATAAAATTATAATAATCGCGGTCGAGGAAACGGGTTATGTAAGACAAATATCTTTTTTTGCGTAAAAACAAAATGGAAAAATGTACTAGAGATCTTTCTTAGTCAACGCACATTATTAACGTTAGTAACGTGTCATTATGTTTTTATTTTACAGTTTTTATAAAATCGCGAATGGGGTAACGTTTATAATTCCAAGACTGGTTCAAGTAACTCGGTGACAGATAGGAACGGGGGATGACGCGAGCCTAACTGCTTAACTCGCGAAGGCACACAAACAGACGTGCAGCTCGGTTGAGGATTTATCTCCGTTTTACATTTAGATGTCGACGCAGCGAAGGCCTCTCTGGAGAACGTGCCGGCGAACTTGTATGAAAGCGTATGCGTGCCAGATTTAGGTGATTTTTTGGGATACCAGGGTGGCGGCCATCAGGTGGCAACACCAGAACATAAAAACCCGTCGACGCCCGCCAATTCGGCCACCTCCAACTCCTCCGGTCCTCCTCAGAGCGGTACGCAACAACAACCCCCGATACAACCCTCTTCGGGCGCGGTGTCCCTGCCATCGAGACAGTATCATGACGATGGTAAGTCCATTTTTACTATTCCTCTCCGCCTTCCTCCGCCGCGAACAACTATTCTCGGACTTACGGGTATAGGAAATCCCATTTAGGCAACAGTGACGTCTTGCGCCAGTATAGCAAATTTCTGTGGAATAATTCCAAATTTGGGGGGGGGGGGATTTCCCTTCGTTGCAAAGTATCGAGGACTGGGTTTCTCTAAAAAGTACGAGATGAAAAGTCACGTTATTAATCTCTGTCTAGAAACGCGCGCGCGCGCGCGTGCGCGTAATTAGCGTTATCATTGACGATAGTGCCAGATGATGATTGCAACGAATCTCGCTTCCTACAGCACTCTTTCCTTTCCGATGCTGATAATTACTCGCGCGCATATGCAAGGGACCGCTAAGTTGCGCGACAAGACGGTTTTATTTATTTCCCCGATTGCAAGTACAAACGAAAGCGTGGAGGAGTTTCTCATTGTTACGTCAGGACGGCGCTGATAACATCTCTCAGGTTGGTGCGTTTGCACGTGTTGCAAACACAAACCTCTCATTATCGTCACTGTTCGTTCCTCATTTAGCATTTCTTCGTCGTCGTGCCGCGGGGTACCGCGTCGGCGACAGCTCGCGATTTCACCGGCGCGCGTATATATATGCCTAGAAATCGAATCGTCAAACGCCCGGCCTCTCTCAGGGCTGATTGCGATACGGCTCGTTACAGCGCGCGGCACAAGTGAGAGGGTGGGCCCGGCCGTTTTGTCGGCCGAAACAAAAGTCCGAAACTCGAGAAACTCGGAGACTTTTTATTATAGGACCCCCATTAGTCGACCGCATTTTCGGCCTTTATGTAACACTTTGTTTTGTCCATTATATTCTTCACGTAGCGCGGTAATCACGAGAGAATATTGTTGAACCTGAAAAACTTATTCTTTATTGCGGCTCGCACACTCTTGAATTCTCGGTGAATATACGCCACATACATAATATCTGAATAACAAACGAACTATCCCACAATCATGTATGATAGTTCGGAGATAACATCGGAGATGATGTAAGCCGCCGGCATATTCAAACTCATTTTTTTTTCTCTTCCATTTTTCTGCGGAATTCCCTGCGGAATAGCTCTCTCGCGGTGCTATTCTATTCATTCAGAAGTTTTGTTACAATCTCTTGAATCGCGACGTCTCTCGATCGCGGCCGCGAAGCGAGAGAAAGAGACACATTACCCGGGAGGACGGTGCGTCAAGTTTTGCTGAATCTTTTTGTTGAATGGACGAGCATCTATTGCGTAATGATTTTGTTATTGTACAACGCGTTGCGCAATGCGGTCGACGAGAGATTTCGCTAGCTCGTGTGCTCGAACTAAGAATCGTATTATTCACTGGTCACGAACCTAGTTTTAATTTCTTTACGGCGCGCGCGGAGAACGAATTGCCGAGTGAAAATATCAACGCTAACGCTGGCGCAACGCGGTCGTATAAAATTTCTCTGTTGCGCCCGTTATGACGTGGAGAATTTTTTGCACAAGCGCGTGCGACCCAGTTTTTCTTTAACTATTAACGTTTGATCATTTATCTCTGGCTTTGACCGATTTACTTTCGCCATATGCGCCTTATCCATTGTAAAATCAAATTCATCATTACGTGACGAATCAACTCTCCCCAAGTGCGTTTTGCACAACATATTAACGTGCCGCTGACGAAAGACCAAATAGCAACGTTCAACGTGCGTTTAACGAAACGTTTGTAGCTTTTATGAATTATGCTTCAATGTATTTTAACATATTACAATAGTCGGCAAAATCTGCTATTGCATTTGTGGAATTATAATGTTTCGATATTTGATGTCGCGAAATTTAAATCGTAAAATACCTACGGAGAAGTGCTAATGTGCGTTTTTTAAATACAATTTGTGTTTCAATTAATTTTATCTTCCCGACTTTATTAAGTTTCTTAAACCATTCAGAGATGATCACAGAACGCGACAGAAAATTTAAAAAGAAATTATTAATTCGATTATCAGTAATTTACTGTAATTAAAAATGTAATTAGCAATTTTGAAGTCATTAACACGCGGAATTGTGATTGATAAGCACGTGGCGCAACATCTTGCATTTTCATTTCATCGTTAGGGACGTTACGAAATGGAAAGGAAAAAAGATTCGCGTCAGAGAGGTGACTCGCAATCGCTGAACTGCGGTAGCTGAAACTGCGATTTTGCTCGCGTATATACTATAACTCGCGGCATTTATCAATGGGAGATAATCCCAGTCGCGCGACGTGTCGTTCCGTAATCCGTGCATCGCGTATACACTCCGCTCGCAATCGCAAGTGCGTTGATGTCGGGAGACTCGGGGAGGCACGCGCAATAGGACGACGGATGGAATGGAATAGAATGGAACGGAGAGCGGAGAGTGGAGGAGAACATTATAAAGCGAGTCTTCGTACGTATAGCGCACGGGTAACAATTACCCTGGCGAGGGGCCTTACGTCACTGCAGCAGTGACCGTGGGTGAACGAGGGAAAGTCGGGTCCTCTACACGCTCCGCCGCGGACAATAGAGACGATTCGCCCGCGCCGCCCCGCGCCGCGCCGCGCGTGTGTCTACCACGATATAACGCGCACGCACATACATACCTATACGCGTACGTGGACGTTAATGAATGCGCTCGTATATCTCTCATCCCGATTTCAATCGTTCTCGTCTACGTGGAAGGCAGAATGAAACCACTGCCATTAGACCCGACTGACTGAATTAGCCGCTGAAAATTCTCACAGGAGGAATTTTAATAACTATTTTAATTAATTTTAATTTCCCAAAAAGCAACTTAGCAAATTATAACTTTGCAACGGAACAGCTCTATATATTCGGTCCTTTTTGAAAATAAAACGCGTCGAATTGTGCACTGCCTCGAAAGAAGCTATACAAATAATAAAGTTATCTTTATTGATACACTATATTTATTTTTATTAATATACTATATGTAAAATTAATTTAGAAGAACAATGTATTTTTACGTATATGCACTGTTATTTCTTTGAGGCGCAAATAGAAGTGCAAGAGATTGGAGAAAATCTGCCTTTGATACCTTGCACTGGTACTGGCGGATTGCCAAAATATCGTGTAAAATATCAAAGGCCGATTTTTTCAGACTGTAAAAATTTGGCAAGCGCCGACTGATATTCGTTCGTGCGACGCGACGTACGCCAAAGTGCTCCGGCTTGGCTGGTACCGTATGTACGCGTCTTACGAACGGTCGTCGTTACAAAGCGACCAACACAGACGTCTGTATAATAGACTCATTATTTCTGCTTGCTAAAGCACTGTTACGTTATGTATCACAGCTCTTCGAGGTCTCTGGTTCGACTCTCGCTTATCCTCGCTTTCGACCTCCTCGTATCGGAACCGATGTATCGCTCTGTTATTTAGAACCGAATCGACTCGGTACACTCTTTAATTGCACTATTAGAAACCTAGATGAGCTCTAAGATTCTTCGACGATGTTAATATACAATATTTAACCGCGCTAATTGGACCGTTCCGCATCAAACTCGCAATGCCTAGAAATTTATTTCAATTTCAAATTTAAATAAGTAATAATATCACAATTATCACAAATTTTATATCTTTCCTTCAGTTTATTTCTCAAAGGCAAAAATTGCTCTCTGAATTCGCGTCTCTTTCTTCGATACTATACAACTCAGATTATTATCGCGAGTTTGATAACAATATCGTAACATTGTACAATATTGTCGAATATTTACAGAAGTAGGATACAATTCGGCTGTATTCGATTATGGGTCTCCTACCGTTTGAATCCACGAAACCAGGTAGTAGGCCCTTAGGATGAATTTCGTGAACGTATCGACGATGATATAGCGCGTGCTGTCCATGAAGACAAGCGCCAAGCTTGTCGCGTATTCATCGCTTCGTGTCACGTATCGCGCGCACGTGCACGGATCCACAAACACGCGTAACGTATATGTGCGCGTGCATATTATGCATAAATTAGCGGTAGCGAGCGCGGGGACGAGAGATCGAGAGAGGGTCGAATCCCCGCGCGCGAAAGCGACGCGACGCTCGTGTGGTTTTACCAAGCATACACGGTGTCCAAAAAAGGATCCGTGACGTCCATCGGTAGCGTTTATGGGAGAGAGGAGCGACTGGTCGGTCGTGCCAGCGAATACAATGATTATTTGTTAAGCAACCCCCGCGTAGTAACTAATGTCTTCTGTCTCTCTCTCCGTCACTTTGATTGTACTTTGTAAGCAATTTTGATTGCTCGAAGTTTTCTATACATAGAAAATTGTCCGATAAAGAAAGTTAATCTAAATGTTTATTTTTTTTTTGCGTAATTGACAAAGATCTGTAACTTTATCAAGAACTTCCCTCGAAGTAACATAACTCTCACAATCAAAGAAGAATGTTTTTTTTCTATAAATCATAGTCAATTATGTACGAATGATGGATATCTGGATTTCATAAATCGAAATTTTATCTATTCTTGAAATTTGTGCGCAAATTTCAGGATAAGAATTAATGCCTTACTTCATTTCTCGCTGCGTTTTTATGTCGAGCGCCAGAGGCCAGAGCAAATTGCACGCAGTTCCTCAAACCGGTATACTTGATATGCGATTACAGCTACGGGAAGCTTAATAGGCGCGATAATAAAACCGTATTAAAACCGCGGTAGCGCGCACTCTCGAATGGCACTTAGGGCGAACGAGAGCCACGCAATCTCCCGCGTCGCGGAAGAATCTGATAATACGTGGTGTTGCGTTGCGCGAACATGCGTTACCCAGCGGCGTCATACGGTGCCACCGCGAATAACCCGAGGAGAAAGATATAAAGAGCGACTGCGTAGCGGGCTAGAAGTAGAGGCTCGCCTAGGGGTGAAGCGAATAGAAGAAGGAAGAAAGGGGCGCGCCTGCGGGGAACGCGGAGGGCCGGGGGGAGAGCGGGAGGGGTAGTTGGCACAGGTTGTATTCATTCACTCGTTCATTCATAGTTCGTACACCGCCTCGA